CATCCGGATTTGACAATCGGATCTCGTTGCGATAGTGTTTGAATGAAGATTGTGTTAATGCATACCCCGCGTTCATAATTGTTTTCCTAAGATCCCTGTCTTTGATCTCCCTCATGAAATTTTGTACAATATGTCTAATGCAGTAGACATACATAGAAGGAGGATCATGGCAAGCATTTGCATGATTATTGTATGCACTCTCAATAGATACATGTATGTCGGAGATCAAACAGAGACCAGGTTGTGGAGCCATGTGTGTTCGAAGATTCTTGAGAAAGAAACTCCAAGCACCACCAGTCTCTTCCTCGACTAGAGCAAAGGCAATTGGGAAAATATTTTTGTTTCCATCTATCTAAATAATAGGTTTGCAGGACGCAAACCCTGTGATGCAAGGTTGAAAAGCCCAGAACAATCGACTGAATATTCCATTTTCGTTTACAGAAGTACCATCTGTGGCATACGCTGACAATGTTTTCATAATATAAATAGCTCTAGGAGCATACGTCTGAAGTGCATATGGGTAGCGCGGTATTTCTTTATATGACTATTCCCAGTTTCCATATACCTTGTCAACCGCCTTGGTCTTTGCTAACCACGCCTTTTTGTATGACAAAGTATAATTGTATACTGTAGTGATGTGAGAGATTATGCTTTTCACCTTCAATGAAGGATCATTGCTGACGAAAGGTAGGATTTCTTAACATATTAGATCATAATTTAGTTTATGATGATCTTGTGATTGAGCAGAATTAACGCATGTGTGGGTGGACAAAGAACCTATCACCCAACAATCACTTCTCAACCTGTATGATGCAGTGAGCTTGAACATACAATCTGGGTGAACACACTTGAGCTTGTACCTTTCTGGATTTACCTGATCTACCTTAAAATCGACAGAGTTTAACATGTGGAACTTTTTTATAACTCGCATACAATCTTCTCTTGAACAAAATTTGTCTTTCTCTTTTAAATTTTCATCTGACTACATATACGGGTTGAAAAAACATCTGATGATGGTTCATCTCATCCCATGTTAAAGTTTTTCATGTGTGAAGGTGGTGTGTAGATTTCATTTGGAAGTATTTCAGGTAGCGCATCGTCTTCAGAATCATCATTGACCATGTTGTCAAACTCTAACTCTTCATCTTCCTCTTCTTCGTCAACGACATCTACTTTTGCTTGTTCGTCTTCGAGAGGATCAACCACTTTGTGATTGATTTGGTTGTGATAGTTGAGGATCCTGCAGCATAATGTACAACTCAATCGAGTCTTACCCAGAATACTCATGACTAGAAAACATATTTTGAAGGTCCTCGTCATCTTGAACCTCTACCTTATAAAATATTATTTGGTTCTCACAAAAAAATTGGATTTTGGTAGAAGATGTGTGACACTGGACCTCATTCAAGTTTGAGCTCCAGTCGTTTTTTGAGATACAAAAAATTGGCTTTTCTATTTAAACAAAATCGAATATTATCAGTGATTCTAAATAAAAAACCAGAGACATCACAATTGTACGTCTCTTCATTGAAATGTGCACTGATAATATATTATGTTGCAGAGGACATTGCGCTTGCGTGTTTAAATGTTTGAGTATGTGAGAATTTGTTTGAGCGGTGATAACATAAGGTGCATGGAGCAGAATAAATAACGTGCATATGAGACGAGCAAGACAAATTTGATCTACCAAGGAGGCGCCAATTGGGATGGAGAATCCTCATATAATTGGCCTAAGGCACCAACTGGGATGGCACATTCCTTATAAGCATGTCACGTAGCATGCATGCTGGCCACCTAAACCTACACCTATGTTGCCACACATGTTGCCACCCTACGCTTGGCCCACGCCACATTGAGTGGCGCATGCACTTTAAAGTGCATAAGGCGCCAACCACCTAGCGCATTGGTGACACGTGTTATGTATGCATATAACCCTCAACCACATCATTAACTTATCTCTATACGAATTCGCCTATAAATATGGCGCTTCAGACGCTTGTTTTGCATCACCAATCCTCACTCTCTGATACAAACTCTTTCACTATCTTATACAATTTCAAATATGGTTCTTCTCGTAATGGGCGATTCTCACAGAGGAACAAGACAAAATATTGTCGCGTTTATAAGTTTTTATAATTTTACATATTATTTTATCATATATATAAATTTTATAAATTAATTATTTTAGATATTTTATAAACTCTTACACTATTTACATTTTGAATTTAGGATACTAAAATATTTAGATGCCGCTCACACAACTATATTGCTTCGGACTTGTTTATCAACCCATATCTAAAATATGCCGATTTTGGAAATGTTATAAAAATATCTTATTGTGCAATTGATTCCAAATTTATTCTTGCAATGTTAGAAAGGTGGAGACCCGAGACACACACCTTTCATCTACCAATAGGTGAATGTACTATCACACTAGAGAATGTGTACATGTTATTGGGTCTCCCTATCGATGGTAAGACGGTGAATGGGTCGGTTCAAGAACCCAATTCTCTATCCGAGGAATTGTTGGGCAAAGATATGGTAGAAACAACTGGTGCTAGGGGCAAAGGTATATTACTAATTGTACTTAAAAAGCATTATAAGACTCTTGAGTTGAATGAAAATTTGACCGACGAGGCAAAAATAATTAAAGCTAGAAATTATATTATGATACTATTAAGAAGCCTGTTATTTTCTGAAAGTACAGAGAATAGTGTAAATTTTATGTATTTAAGTTTTCTTAGGAACTTTGATAAAACAAGAAAGTATAGCTGGAGTTCCACTGTTCTAGCCCAACTATACATTTCATTATGTAAAAACGCAACAAACGACAAATATACTTTTTTATACACTATTTTACTCCAAACATGAGGTTGGTGGATAATAGAGTCCCTAAACCCCGTCAACAACAATAAACTCATTTTCCCCTACGCAATAAAGTAAGTCAATAGCTCAAATAATTTATTATTCATCCTTTCGCCAAATTGATGTATAAAATTAATTATGTTTTTTCATTTATTTAGGTATTGTGTAGGGGGTATGATTACAACAAGAATTCAAGATTCAATGTCGCTCTATATCGTAATATTTTAGATCACCTCGGTCTGGATGATGTATGTGGTACCTCTAAACTTTTCTACTTTTAAATTATTTATTTTTAACGTTTTCATTATTCTGATTAATTTTTATCCATAGTTTATCTGGAGACCATATTTGGGTTTGGACCATGAACCCAACTCCGAGGATGCAGCAGTTTGGACTGCAAAGACTGCAATCATACGATTCAACATTGTGGAGATGCACCACAGCGACTGTGTCAAGATACAGTTTGAAATGCATCAAGAAATACCATGCGATCCAATTTCTTTATCACTTTGGCATCTCAAAAGGGTCGACGCCCAATGGGGTGTTAATAATTGAAAAGATTTCGCTCTGGAATGGTGTAAGATGTGGCGTAGGCGTCACCAATATGTCTTACAATTTTCTGTTTTCCACAACCAGATTAATATGCAACACACAAATTAGTATATTGATTGGTACGAATCGCTTACTAACCCTGAAATACACATGTCTCACCCGAGGTATTTGATCGACCCACGCACATAATGGGCACAATCATACACCATACAATAACAACCCCAACGACAAATCCAACACACATCAACCTCCCACCAAAAACAACGACGATACAGATACACCATCACCTAACCCCAAACTCAATATCGATACCAATACACACACATGCCCCACATACAATCACAGTACAAAGAACAACGACCATACATTCGACATCCTAATGTAGGCCCCTCGTCGTCTCACCTTAGCTCAGACATTGGCCAACCTGACGAATATTCACCAACCAACCCAACTTACCATCAACCATCATATCACCATAGCACCGAACAATCACAGTACCAAATCCCACAAGATTCATTTCCTTTTTATCCCCCTTATTCAGACGACCCGTGTTATCGACATCCCATGGAACCTCACCCCCAACCAATACAACCAAACTTTGAGGGCATGGGTAACCGAATGTTTGAAAGTGGATCTTCCGGATATGGTGATCTAACGGCTTTCATGGGTCCTGAACGCATTGACTTCGCAGGGTCCTCGACCCAACTGCAACAGGAAATACGTCGAAACGCACCACAAGTTAGGCGAGGACGCAAATGCGGAACTATAGATCATTATCGAATCCCCATAGACAACTAAATAATATGTAATTTTTATTCTCATTATATAATTGTTTAATTATTATTGAAAATCAATTTTCATTTGCAACGAAATTAACTTTTAATTCTTTAACAAAAAAAACAAAAAAAAAATTATGTACCTAGGCGCCATCTGAGATGGCTTAGGGTAAATGGCATGCACCTAAGCGTCATCTCACTTGATGCTGCCTTTAAAAAAAGCAATGCATGCGCCATCTGAGGTGATTATTACATTATATCATTTTCTGAAACATAGTTATTTACGTATTTTTTTCTGAAATATAATTATTTGTGTGTTTTTTTAAATATGGTTATTTGTATTTGTTTTCTCAATCTTTCTCTAATGAAAATGACATTCTCTTTTGCTTTGTGAATTGTTTTTAGTCATTTCTCATTCTAGCATACAACTCATACTAAATATAGCCAAAAACATTACACATGTGATACCTTTATTGCTGACTTTACCTGCTACTCAAATTTCATAACTCTTTCTTATATGAAATTCAACAAGAAAAGAATTTAAATCTAAATGTCTTCAATGATTCATTAGGGCGTGACTTTTTCACCCTTGTTTATTGTTTATGTTTTCTATAATAGTATATTGTAATGTATTGTATTCCGTCAAAGTCTCATGTATTAATGCAGTCGGCATTTCAGTGGTCACAAAACTGAACGCTCCCCCGTCAAAATGTTGACTACGTAAATGCATGAGACTCTGACGGAATACAGTCCAAATCCATAGTGTCTTGTCTAGTTATCTACTTTTTCTTTTCTACCTTTTAAGATTCAATCAACTTGTTCACCAATCAAGTCTAGACCAACTAAAAGGAATGATATGCCCTGGAATAGCAAGAAGTAGAAGTGAATTCCTTTGAGCTGAAAGGAGACTTCTTGCTGAAGCTGTTAAGAGTAAAAAAGCCAAAGAAAGCTCCTTTATGTATATTCTATTATGCTTCTTCTTCTTTGATGCTGCTTCATTTTTCTCCTTGGGTAGTTGGATTTCTTTCATTTCCTCGAGATCATAAACCGAACCCGTTTTTTGAAGATGCTTTTGTTCTTTCTCAATCAAAGAAACAAGATCGCCTTCCAAAGAATGACCTGATTTCTTCGTGACAACCCATTCGTACGCACTCCCTAGCTGGAAAAGACCAAAGATCATGGCATTGAATTCGGTAACCGGCATTGTGTTCTCAAATAGAAGGTATGGAACTATGAATGGAAAGGATTTGGGAGCTGGAAGAATGTTGAGAAATGACATGGTGACCGGGATATAACAAACAATCCAAACGGAAAGCTCGGCTTCGGGTACAAATATTGTCATTGGCAAAATTACACAAGAGTGTAAATGAATAGAAGGGTAATATCAATTTCCTAAGAAGAAAAAACAGAAATATCAAGTTGAATTTCTTCCATGTGCTTATCTGCAAAGTAAAAATAATTATTCCTAACAAAATTTTGCCGTTGGAAAAGAGTATAAATGACGATTTTTTTAAGATGTGTGTACTACCTTAAGCGGCAAGTAAAATGAGATGGAGGGAGTATATACCTTAGAACGTATGATGTCGGGCAAACATAGGCGAAACAATTGCATTGGTCCAGAATGCCATCTATGTTGTTGTTTCCTATAGGCTTCGTAACATTCGGGGATCTCACATTGGCACTAAAAGTAATGACAAATTAATATTGTGTTCGAATGTCCAAAACCATGATCAACGCAAAACAAAAACAAGCTATTTAACCAAAACCGTGGTTGAAATTGATGCCTTATGAAAGTGCGATACAATTACAAACAAACAAGCGCTGAACAACTCGGTATAAATAGTAGTGTGCCAGACAAACCTCAACATCATTGAGAAAGATGAATTTCCATCCATGAAGATGAGCTCGAACGGCAATATTATAAGCTCTCGCAAACAACCTCACAGTCACAAGTGCTTATGTTAGTATATGAGCTGAAACAAAAGAATCCAAACAAGCCCTTGCATTAGGACAAAATACACAAACACGGTGTGTGATACAAAACGACATCAAACCAATCAATCAAACGATTATTTACCTTAAAATGAAGAACTGTTCTTTTAAGGAAGTTTGGACTAGGCTGAAAGTCGGCATCAAAAATAGCAACAAATTCATAGTCTTTCACATAGCTACAATTCATGGCAGATTTCAAGTTACCAGCTTTGTAACCTTCTCTATTTTTTAATCTTTATCTCTTATTTAAATAAAATAAACTTTGAAGAAAAAACAAATTAATAATAATGAAAAGAAAAAAACAGAGACAATGAATGTTTCAGAAACTAGGATTCTTATATTAATGAGTAAGATACCCAGAGAAGTATTTGAAGCAAGGGTTTAATTTCTATTAAAAATTATTGTTTAAAAAAGAGATAAAATAGGAAAAATAATTGTTATGTATTTTGAAAATTAATAAATATATCATTAATATTGAAAAATGCTAATCAAAAGAGTTTTGTAATAATTATATACCTTTTAGAAATATTATATACGATATATTTTTCAATTATATACATTAATTAATAGTGTGTTTGAATTTACGATGAACAAAATTGATTCTAATATAATTGAATTTTGTAAAATTGATTATAACAAAATTTAGTTTAATATAATTGATTTATGTTTGAATACATTTATGTAAAAGTAAGTTGAATAATAAATTTTAATATAAAAATCACTCAGAATCAATTCTAGAAACATAAGCTACAAATTATATCTTCAAATAGAATTAATTTTAAAGACAGAATCAATTTTACTTTTGATAAATCAAACACCTCAAAATCACTCAGAATCAATTCTACATCTTCAAAACCAATTCAAACATACTATAAGTGATTATATTTTGATCAAAAAACTAAGTGATTATATACATCATTACCTTTCAATTACATATTCCTATGTAGGAGTGTAAGTGGATCATAAAAAATCAATTAAACTGATAATTTCACCTAAATCAAACAAAAATAACAAATTGTTTCTAGTTCAATTTTAAAATCAAACCGAATAAATTAAGATTGATGTGGTTTGGTTCGGTTCTCGGTTTTAGTTTTTAGGAACCGTCAAATTAATAAATTGAATCAATGTCTATATTACGCTCTAAATTTTTTATTACACTCATTATTAAGCTTAAAATTTGTATCGCAACAATCATTCTCCATCTTTGTTTATATTTCCTTACTTTCAACAAAACAAACATCTAGAACAAAACTCCAAAACATAGAAAGTATAAATCATAAGTTACATAAATTTGTTTTTATCAAACTACTACTTTCCCTGTCTGGCATCAATGTTACGCTCTACCGTTGTTCTGATATGTTATGATCGCATTCTTCGTGTTAAGTTCTCTTCGTTAGTTTTCATATTTTTTAAACCTTTTTTGTTTCTTCTTCAACAAAATTCTTAATTCTTGTTATAAAATAGTTTTGTTGTGTCTTTGGAGTGGGGAACTT